GGCCACTGCACTCCAGTCTGAGCGACAGAGTGAGACTCCAACTCAAAAAAAAAAAAAAAGAGCAGGGGTCAACAACTATAGCCTATGGGCCAAATCCAACCTGCCACTCTTTTTGCAAATAAAGTTTTATTGGCGCATGGCCTCACCCGTTCAGCTTAGGGCTGTTTTCATGCTGCGATGATGGAGCTGAGTTGGTGCGACAGAGAGCCTGTGGCCACAGAGCTGAAAACATTTACTCTGACCCTTTATAGAAAGCTTGCGGGCCTCTGGTTAAGAGCACAGGATCCGGGGCCAGACAACCCAGGCTCCCAGCCCTGTTGTGCCACTGCTGGCCGTGACCTGCATCTGTGGAGTCATCAAGCCCTGCATGAGCTGCCCCAAACTCCCACCCGTGGCCTACAAAGTCCCCCAGTGCTCCGCCTCCGCCTGGCCTCACGGGATACCTTGTCCTGGTCGGCCACAGAGAGGGCGCTATGCAGCGGCAACACCACCCAGCGCTGTGTGTGGCTGGCGTAGGTCTGGGCAGCCTCGAGCACAGCGCTAATCTCCGCCATGCCACTGAGGAAGACAAGGAGGTCACCCCGCTCCTCGGGCGGGTACTTGGCATCGATGGACTCCAGCACCCTCAGGAAAGGCCGTGGGTCCAGCTTCTCTGACTTAGATGTGGTCGGCTCTGCCTCCTGTGGCTGGTAAACCACCTGTGTGAGGAAAAGCCCAGGTGGGAGCACAGCCCGTCACTCGTGCTCAGAGCAGGGTGCCAGGGAGACAGCCAGCTGACTGAGAAGAGAGGATCAAATGGCAGACAGCACACTCCAACAGCATCACTTGTGGAGGATGTGATAAAAAGATGAAACAGCGGGGTGACTGGAGAGCTCCTGGGGTGCTGGCGCTCTCTGGGTGCCGGGTACACAGATGTATTTAAATGGGGACAGTTAACCAAGATACATGCTTATGATACATGCATTCTTCTGTGTTTAGAGTGTAACTTCAACAAGAAAAAGAATCCTAAGTGAGGGAACCAGGATTAAAACCCTAGAAATCATCTCTCACAAAGCATCCTTGCTCTTTTGTTATGGCAAAAGAAGAAGACAGTGACGGGCACTCAGAACCAGAAACCCCAAGGGACGAGGTTCTTCCTGTACGTTTTGACTACACAGGCAAGGACAACATCCTAGGACAGTGGTTCTCATCAGGGGTGGTTCTGCCCCTCCAGCCAATCTATGGCAACATCTGGAGACATTTTTGGTTGTCACAAGCGGAGGAGGAGACTGCTACTTGCATCTAGTGGGTAGAGGCCAGGGATGTTGATGAATACCCCACAATGCACAGGACAGCCCCACCACAAAGAATTCTCCAGCCCAAAATGTTCAGAAACGTTGCCTTATGAGATGTCAGAGCAATGAGAAAGGAGAAGCCTGGGTTCCTGAATGATCGCATGGGCCAGCTAGACTGTTGCAACTCCTGTCTTATTTGAGCCTTTATATTTTTGTGTCTTTCTGTTACAGCAGTTTGGCTTTTACTCTAGCAAGCACTAAGCACTCTACACAGCATACTGTAAATGCTCAGAAATGATAGCTTTAAAAAAGAGAGAGAGACCGGCCAGGCAGTGGCTCACACCTGTAATCCCAGCACTTTGAGAAGCCAAGGTGTGAGGATTAGTAGAGCCCAGGAGTTTGAGGTCAGCCTGGGTAACATAGTGAGACCTTGTCTCTAAAAAAAATTTCTTTTTAATCAGCCAGGTGTGGTGGTACCTGTAGTCCCAGCTACTCAGGAGGCTAAGTGGAAGGATCACCTGAGTCCAGGAGATCAAGGCTGCAATGAGCTGTGATTGTGCCACTGCACTCTAGCCTGGGCAACAGAGTGAGACTCCAGCTCAAAAAGAAAAATGAAACACCATCTAAACTGAAACCACGGGAAATCCAGCAGCAGAGAGAAGAGACATGCCCAGGTCTGGCCAGAGACCAGGTGGGAGGGCTGGGCTGTGGATGGCAGGGAAGCACTGACCGTGATGGGGAACAGCCTCCCGGGCACTTGTACCACAGGGGCGCTGCCAAAGTAGCTGGAGAAGAGCGAGATGTTGATGGTGGCCGACATGAGGATGACCTTGAGGTCGGGCCTCCTGGGCAGCAGGCGCCGGAGGATGCCCAGGAGGAAGTCGTTGTGGAGGTGCCGCTCATGGACCTCGTCCACGATCAGGACCTGGTACTGGGGCAGGCTGGGCTCCCGCTGGATCTGCCGCAGGAGCAGCCCCACTGTCAGGAACACGATCTTGGTGGCCGCCGAGCGCGTGCTCTCAAAGCGGATCTGGTAGCCGACCTGGGTGGCAGGGAGGAAGACTGGTCAGGAGAGGACACTGAGCCTGACCACCAGCCCCCACCCTGCCCAATGGGAAAATCTGAGCAGATGCCATGCCTACGCATCAGACTAGGGAGTCCAGTGAGCATGGGTTTGAACCCACCTCTGCCACTTAGTGCTGCTGATTTGGGGCAAGCAATGGTACCTCTTAAAGACATGTTTGCTCCCAGATGGTATAAGAATTCCATGTGGTAATGCACACAAAGCATCTGGCACAGCTGGGAGCGGTGGTTCATGCCTGTAATCCCAGTACTTTAGGAGGCCAAGACAGGAGGACTGCCTGAGGCCAGGAGTTCAAGACCAGCCTAGGCAACATAGCAAGACCTCATCTCTACAAAAAGAAAAATTTTTTTAATTAGCCAGGTGTGGTAGCACATACCTCTAGTCCTAGCTACCCAGAAGGCTGACACAGAATTGTCTGAGCCCAGGAATGGAGGCTGCAGTGAATTGTGACTGTGCCATTGTACTTCAGCCTAGACAACACACTGAGACTCTAACTAAAAAATATACACATATATTTCTAAGTGGCAAAGTCAGGGTTAGAACCCTAGAAATCATTAAGGAAGTGTCCTTAATAACATATTTTTTTGCCAGGCACAATAGCTCACACCTGTAATCCCAGCGCTTTGGGAGGCCAAGGCGAGAGGATTACCTGAGCCCAAGGGTTCGAGACCAGCCTGGGCAACTTGGCAACACCCAACTCATCTTTATAATAAATCAAAAAATCAGCCGGGCGTGGTGGCACATGCCTGTGGTTCCAACTACTTGGAAGGCTGAGGCAGGAGGATCACCTGAGTCCAGCAGGTCGAGGCTGTGATGGCAACAGAGTGAGACTCCTACTCAATAAAAAAATAATAACATATATATTTTTTATGGCTACTTAGAAAAAAGATTGCTGAGCATTTGGGATGTATCCAATTTTGTTGCTGTTAAAGTGCTACATTGGCAATGCTAGTGCCTTTGTCATGTGGACCATATACAGGGGCCACTCTGCAGATAAATTTCTGGAAGAGGAATCATCACTAGGTCAAAGGGGAAGAGCTTACTTTATACGGATACTGCCCTGAGGACAAGCAACCTCTTCCCCAAGGTCACAGCACACAAACCAGAAACCAGGTGTGTCCACTCACCTGGGAGCCATACTGACTGAGGCTCTCAAAGCCAACGCGCTTGGCCAGCGAGATGCAGGCGATCCGCCGGGGCTGGGTGCATGCCACGTGACTGAAGCCAGCAGCCAGCAGGTACTGGGGCACCTGAGTGGACTTGCCACAGCCCGTGTCACCAGCCACCACGACCACCTGGTGCTCCTTCAGCGTCTGCAGGATGCGGTTCCCATACTGGGCGATGGGCAGTGCGGCCCGCTCCCGCTGCAGTTTGGCCAGCCGCCCGAATGCCTGCTTCTGGCCGAAGTCCAGGTAGTGCAACAAGGCTTGGCGGAACTCAGACACTCTCTCAGGGGGCAGGCGCCTGCCCGGCCCCCGAGAGCCCCGCGCATCAGGGCCAATGATGGAGAGGTTGATGCGGTAGCGTGGGTCATAAGTGTGAGGCAGGTCGGCCAGTGCTGAGGTACCATGCTTAGGACAACCAGCATCTTTCTCCTCCTTCCTGGAGGTCTTGGCACTCTGGAATCGCTGCAGGCGTTCAAAAAAGGCCCAAAATTTCTGGCAGTCCTCAGAACCCTGACGAATGTAATCCTCATCACGGAAGAAGGAATCTTCCAAGAGGCGACGTGTCTCTGGACAATTCCAGTCCCACTTCTCCCAGGCCTCTTCCCCAGTGGGAGCGCGGCGGTAGTCTCGGTGATCCCTGCCCTCCCTTGTTCTGGGAGGAGGCATGTTGCTAATCACAACACTGTCACACAAGTAGCTTCTGTTCCGATCACCTGCACCAAATAATAGCAGCCATCCCCCAGCAGTAAGATTCCAGTGCCTGCAATAAGAAGCCACTTGCTCTCCAAAGAGCTAATTATCCTCCTCATTCATGTTACAGGACCACCACAGGTGAAAGAGCAAGTAGCCAGGAACCCGGCTGAGCCGGTGACACACAGGGCACCTCATGTCTCCCGCAGTGATCTCTGGGATGGACACAAGTTCATCCTGGGTTTTCAGGCTGGATGCTTGGGAAAGAGAAGACATTCCTTTTTAGAAACATTTTCTCAAAGCCTGTTTCTTGAGTGCTAGACGAGGAAGAGGTGATGAATAAGAGAATACCACTTGAGACCTCAAGGATGGCCATGGTCACATGAGGGGGACACACTTCCCCAGATGTGACAATCCAGAGATGGGGGCTGTGAGAAAGGAAGCCCAAAGAGTCATGGGAGCTCAAAGGAGGTGCCCGCCCATGCCTGGGAGTCAGGGAAGGATCCCCTAGGAGAGGACGTTTGACCTGAGACCTGAAGGAGAGATGCAGGCCACAGCCAATCAGCAGGCAAGCTTGCCAGCAGAGGCACTAACACAAGAGCAGTGCCATATCATGAGAAGAGCAGGCAAGGGTTCCTACTTTGGGGTCCACTGGGCTGCAGGACACAGGGAATCCTTTAAAATTAAACGCAAAACAAAGCAACCCTTCCACTATGGGAGCTTTTCTGTCCTCTCAATAAATCCTGCTTTCAAAAAAAATTAAATGCAAAACTTTGCAAGTATTACACATGTATTGGCTGCCTGGCACAACCCTTTCCCCCTTTCTGAGAACCCTGCCTGATTCCACATGGTTCTGAGGGTCTTTAAGGTAGAGAACCCCTATTGGTTGAGCAAGTGACAAAGGCCTGGCCAATCATGGAACTCTACTCCCCTTTAACCAGTGATTGGTCTGAGCAGGGGATACAAGACCCAAGCAGGCCAATCAGAGCCCTTCTCTGGAATTTACATTGTATTATGAGAACTACAGTGAAGAGTCTGACATAAACCTGGAGCTGTCCGTAGCAGCTCTGGAACATGACAATCGCTCCTGGGAATCTAGAGGAAAACTGGCACACAGGGCAATGGAGCATGCAGAGCAATGGTCACTGCAACTGCAGGGAAGGGAGAGGGTGGAGGGCTAGGGGCAGAAACTGAGTGACATCGTTTGGTGCTTGAGACTTCATTACCTTCAACCTCCACTTACCAGCTGCACAGAAAATGCCTTTTAAAACTGGGTTCTCAACTCTCAGCTGAAAAGGTCCTATGTAATAAAGGGCACACCCTCATATGTGCAATTTTCTGGAGGGATGTCCATTACTCAGATTTAGGGGCTTAGGATCTTAAAAGAGTTCAGAGCCTTTGGGAAAAGGCCTTGGAGTCAGGCAGATCTGGGCTGGACTTTCAGCTTCATCATTTACTAGGTGTTTCTCCATCTATAAAATGGAGACAATACCCATCGCAAAACCTTGCCATGTTCATCACCTAGCCTGGTACAGAGAAGCTTAATAGTACCTAGTCTCCCCCCGCCAATAGCAGAGATGACTAACATGGGGAAAACAGCAAGAGCTGGGGCAGGCAATCTGGAGAAAAGTTAGACTCAGAAGGCCCCAGTTCCCCTTCATGGTGACATTAGCAACGCTTTCACCTGCTCTGCCTTCAAGCTCTCAAACGCCATCACACGACTGCATTCAGAGTCCATCCCTGCAGTCCCAGAGGGAAGAACACAGGCCAACTCTGGGAGTTTCACTAGCGCTAGCTATGGGCTTCCAGCGACGAAGAACGTGCGACCTAGCAGAGCCGTTTCCCACAGACAGCAGCCTGGAGGTCGCAGGCATCATTTCTTGCTAAATACCTGGGCTCGGCAACGCCAGGCCTCGTCCAAAGGAATTCCGGTACTCAGAGGGAAGATGAGGCCTCGGAGGCCCACCGTGAGACTGAGTCAGTGATTCTCAGAAAAGGGACGATGAAAGGGAGGGCATGTCTCCCAGCCACAAACTGCCTACCCACGCCAGGGCCCGCTGAGGATCCCCAGGTCTCCCAGGCAGCCTCTCAGGCCGCTGGATCGCGCTTCTCTGCACTGGTCTCTGGCCATCCCTTGGCCTCAGGGCCTGGCTCTCCTAGGCTCTCTGGCCTTGGGCGGAGCTAAGTGCCTCTCCCCCTGGCTCTCCAAACTCAGGCCTCCCTCTCTTCTGCAGCCCACCTTGCCCCCTGCTCTGGCCTCTCTTCACTCATCTGAGTCTTTCAGTCGATGTCCTCTGTAGTCCAATGGTCTCTTTCTCCACATCTTCCTTTTTTCTGTTTGGATCTTTTTTTTTCTGGCTTGTCTCCCTCCAAGTCTCTCTCCGTTTCTCCACCTAATGCTTAGTCTCCTGACTGTCTGAAGCCTTGTTTATCTTATTTTCTTTTTTTTTTGAGGTGGAGCCTCACTCTGTCACCCAGACTGGAGTGCAGTGGCCACTCCCGGCCACCGCAGCCT